AGGCGTCCCCTGGGCAACGTCCTTGCAGACTGCCAATTCTCTCACACCAGAAGCGACTTGCAGTTTCTCAAGTCGCTCCTGACACGAAAAAAAGGAATATTTATACATTTTTTATATTTATGTAATGTTTATACATTATTTATACCTTAAGGAATGGGCAAAAAAAAAAAAAAGTGACAGGGCGTGAGGGGCCGTACACCAGCCTCCCTTTCCGAGGCCCGTTGTAATGTAAATATTTTAAATTATAATTTAAATTGTATAATTTAAAACACCGAGTCCACGTGAATCGAACCACGAAGTCGCGAGGGAACACTGTATAGTATAGTACTTCTTTTGATATGAAATAAATAAATAAAGTACAGTGTTCTTTCACTTATCGCGGGGGTGCCTTTCCAGGACCACCCTCCCCCGCGATAAGTGAAAATCTGCAAAATAGGGACCCCTGGCTCCCCCTCCCCTCCTCTTCCTCTCCCCCCCCCTTCCTAAAGCACCAGAGCTTTGAAGCGAGACCACTGAGGAGGAAGGGATAGAGCGCCTGAGGGAGGAAGGGATAGAGCGCCTGCTGAAGGCGGTCCTCACCCTCCTGACCCTGTCCCCGACTCCACTGTCCCCGACTCCGTTGTCCCCGACTCCGTTCCCTCCACCTCCAGCGACTCTGGGCTTCGGGCCCACCTGCTTACCTCTTTTGGGACCATCTGGTTGTCCTCGCTGGGCACCATGTCCCGTGGCACAGGCATGCCAGGAGGAGGAGGGAGGGAGAACTCGCCGGAGTAGGAAGGAGGAGCGGTCGGGAGAAGAGAAGGCGGCTAGTCGAAGGTAGTGCTCTCGGTGGCGGCCTCCTCTCCTCCTCCTCCTCTTTCCCCGACAGCAACGCCTCAGCGCCCTCCCTCCGCCCGCCAGCACCAATAAATTCCTATTTACTAAAAATATTATATATATATATATTTAAACTGCAAAACAGCGAATCTGCATAAAGCGAACTGCAAAGCGGTTCTTCTAAAGCAGGGGTCCTCCAACTTTTTAAACAGAAGGCCAGGTCACAGTCCCTCAAATTGTTGGAGGGCTGGATTATAATTTGAAAAAAAATTATGAATGAATTCCTATGCACACTGCACATATATTACTTGTAGTGCAAAAAACACTTAAAAACAATACAATAATTAAAACGAAGAACGATTTCAACAAATATAAACTTATTAGTATTTCAGTGGGAAGCGTGGGCCTGCTTTGGGCTGATGAGATAGGATTGTTGTTGTTATGTGCTTCCCAGTCGTTTCAGATTTAGGTTAACCTCAAGCGAGGGCCGGGTAAATGACCTTGGAGGGCCGTATTTGGCCCGTGGGCCGTAGTTTGAGGACCTCTGTTATTTAGCATAAACTTTTGGGCTATTGCAGGCATGGGCAAACTTCAGCCCTCCAGGTGTTTTGGACTCCAAAACACCTGGAGGGCCGAAGTTTGCCCATGCCTGGGCTATTGGATTATTCAAACCTCTTCCCTTCTCAGGTGAATGCACTTTACTTTTCTCTCTGGGTTTTAAAGTTTGGCCAGTCTAAACCTCTAAAAATAAGCGCATCTTCACACCCTTGTTCCAAATCTCATCAGAAGAGCAAAGAGCGTTATTTCATTTTTGCAAAAATAGGTGTATAAGTTTAAAAGAGGAAAAGCAAACCTAGGGTATGCATGGATCCCAGCTTTGGAGGCTACAACTGAGGTAGAACGTGTGCACTGAAGTTAAGGCTTTTCAGGAGGTCACGCCTGCATTTTAGCTGCTTCCAAAAAAAGGTGACAGCGAAGAATGGATTTTTCTTGGGTCAAGTTATCTCCTACAAACTTCCCTCACTGAACTACTACGAGTGTACGATTCTTGAAAGCCTGCCCAATGCAAAGAAACAGTTCCATATTGTCTCCTGCCTATATCATCATTATCAAATAATGTGAATGGATTAAACAACCCAACTAAAAGAAGGATAATATGGCACCAAATATATAATGATATTGTCCTAAGCTAATAATGTAATATAGTGTATGTATATATAACTTATAATAATAATAATAATAATAATATAGCCGCTGAGTCCCAGAGTGAAGAGAAAGGGGGGCAGAAGACAGTTCCATCTTGTCTCCTGTGCTTTACTAATAATATAGTATAATATATTGTATATACTACAAGACATATCTAGTCCAACTACAGGGTTGCAGAAAGGAAATCATTCTCGACACCAGATACAATTTCTAATTTCAGTGCCCATTCCATTTAGAAAAACCGGCCAACACACTTTTTTCAAAAACTTGGACCGGGCTGTGGCGCAGCTAGTTAGTAGCCGGCTGCATTAAATCATTACTGACTGAGAGGTCATGAGTTCGAAGCCAGCCCGGGTCGGAATGAGCTCCCGACCATTAATAGTCCAGCTTGCTGTTGGCCTATGCAGCCCGAAAGACAGTTGCATCTAGATCCAGGGAAGTCATGCTTCCCCTCTATTCTGCCTCAGTTAGACCACACCTGGTATACTGTGTCCAATTCTAGGCACCACAATTGAAGGGAGATGTTGACAAGCTGGAGGGTGACTAAAATGATCAAAGGCCTGGAGAACAAGCCCTATGAGGAGCGGCTTAAAGAGCTGGGCATGTTTAGCTTGAAGAGAAGGCTAAGAGAAGAAGGCCAGAGTGAAGAGAGAGGGGACTACAGTTGAAGACAGTTCCATCTTGTCTCCTGGGATTTACTAATAATATAATATATTGCATATACATATAATATTTATAATATTATAATGTAATATAATATAATACTACTACTAATAATGCAATATTATAATTATATATTTTATATTGCATGTAATATTACTAATAATAGTACAATATAATGGTATAGTACAATATAGTAATATATAATACTGATATTATCCTTTGCTGTACTATAATATATTGTATGTATATATATCTTGCAAGCCGCTGAGTCCCAGAGTGAAGAGAAAGGGGGGCAGGAGACAGTTCCATCTTGTCTCCTGGGATTTACTATAATATAATATATGTATATACATATAATATTTATAACTCATAATACTACTAATAATAATATATTATAATTATATATTTTATATTACATGTAATATTACTAATAATATTACAATATAATGGTATAGTACAATATAGTAATATATAATACTGATATTGTACTATGCTAATAATATAATATATTGTATGTATATATATCTTGTAAGCCGCTCTGAGTCCCCTTCGGGGTGAGAAGGGCGGCATAGAAATGTCGTAAATAATATTAATAACAATATAATATAATATATTGTAAATACATATAATATTATAATGTAATACAATATAATACTACTAATAATAATGCAATATTACTAATAATATTACAATATAATGGTATAGTACAATATAGTAATATTTAATACTGATATTGTACTATTGTACTGATATTGGACCCTAATAATATAATATATTGTATGTATATATATCTTGTAAGCCGCTGAGTCGCAGAGTGAAGAGAGAGGGGGGCAGAACACAGTTCCATCTTGTCTCCTGGGATTTACTAATAATATAATATATTGTATATACTCGAGTATAAGCCTAGTTTTTCAGCCCTTTTTTTAGGCTGAAAAAGTCCCCCTCGGCTTATACTCGAGTCAAAGCTATTATTATTATTATTATTATTATTATTATTATTTTCATTTATTATTTTATTCTATTTATTATTATTACATTTATCATTTTACTCTATTATTAATTTATTATTTTACTGTATAATTGTTGTTATTGCTACATTCATTATTTTACTCTTTTTATTATTATTGTTATTATTACATTTGTTATGTTGCTCTCTTTGTTATTATTGGAAGGATACGTAAGCACATTTACACTGAAGAAGGTAAATAATCATTTAATCAGAGTTGGACAGTCTTACCTTAAATTACCATTTAAAATCAAAAATATATAACCTACTGATTTCTCAATTAATGTAATTTAATTGGTATCTATTTTTGTTTTTCAATTTACCAGTAGCTGCTGCATTTCCCACCCTCGGCTTATACTCGAGTTAATCCGTTTTCTCAGTTTTTTGTGGTAATATTAGGTGCCTCGGCTTATATTCGGGTCGGCTTATACTCGAGTATATACAGTAATATATTGTATAGGTAAAGGTAAAGGTTGTCCCCTGACATTAAGTCCAGTCATGTCTGACTCTGGGGTGTGGTGCTCATCTCCATTTCTAAGCCGAAGAGCCAGCGTTGTCCGTAGACACCTCCAAGGTCATGTGGCCGGCATGACTGCATGGAGCGCCGTTACCTTCCCGCCGGAGCGGTACCTATTGATCTACTCACATTTGCATGTTTTCGAACTGCTAGGTTGGCAGAAGCTAGGGCTGACAGCGGAAGCTCACGCCGCTCCCCGGAATCGAACCTGCGACCTTTTGGTCAACAAGCTCAGCAGCTCAGTGTATAATATTATAATGTAATATAATATAATACTAATAATAATATATTATAATTATATATTTTATATTACATGTAATATTACGAATAATATTGCAATATAATGGTATAGTACAGTATAGTAATATATAATACTGATATTGTACTATGCTAATAATATAATTATTGTATGTATGTATATATATATATATATCTTGTAAGCCACTCTTGAGTCCCTTGTTGCTCTGAGTCCCCTTTGAGGTGAGAAGGGCGGCATAGAAATGTCGTAAATAAATAAAAGAAATCGTAAACTGCAATCATATCCCAAGAAATTGGCAAGTGTTGACTTCTCCTCTAACTGCCCTGAGGCATGCACCCCTCGCCAATGGAGGGGAAAGCTATTCCCTGGGTGTGTTTAAGACCCTTCCATCTTGTGAAGCACCTGCCTAGAATCGGGAACACCAAGACCTTGCCCCCCGTCAAGTAGCAGCACATTCCTTATGCACGGGGGTGAAGAACACCTTTCCGAAAAGGCAAGAGTGAGGATTTGAAAAAGGCATTCCGCAGGGATACAGTTCCTTGTCTTTCCTAAGAAGGTCACTGTACATCTGATCGTATGTTGTTTTGAAATCGTAAACGTTTGGCTTGTCCGGCGCCGGTCCTGGCAGTTTCACGTGAGTCCCGGTGCCAAAGGATCGAACGCTGAAACCACGTTTACTGAAAGACACAAAGAGAGAGAGAGAGAGAGAGAGACAGAGAGAGGGAGGGTCATTAACTTTCATAGATTTAGGTATGCAAAAGGAGAATGCCGCATGACTTAATCGAGAAGAAGAGTTAAGTGTAAAGGTGATAGTCATGCCAACTAAAGCAGCTCCTGAATTGACAAATATCTTAAGACTAGCCGTCCCCTGCCACGCGTTGCTGTGGCCCACATGGGGGTTCTGTGTGGGAGGTTTGGCCCAATTCTATCGTTGGTGGGGTTCAGAATGCTCTGTGATTGTAGGTGAACTATAAATCCCAGCAACTACAACTCCCAAATGTCAAGATTCTATTTTTCCCCAAACTCCACCAGTGTTCACATTTGGGCATATTGAGTATTCGTGTAGAGTTTGGTCCAGATCCATCATTGTTTGAGTCCACAGTGATCTCTGGATGTAGGTGAACTACAACTCCAAAAGCAAAGGACACTGCCCACCAAACCCTTCCAGTATTTTCTGTTGGTCATGGGAGAACCGTATGCCAAGTTTGGTTCAATTCCATCGTTGGTGGAGATCAGAATGCTCTTTGATTGCAGGTGACCTATAAATCCCAGAAACTACAACTCCCAAATGACACAATCAGTGAATGAAAATGCATCCTGCATATCAGATATTTGCATTACAATTCATAACAGTAGAAAAATTGCAGTTATGAAGTAGCAACAAAAATAATTTTATGGTTGGGGGTCACCACAACATGTGGAACTGTATGAAGAGGTCGCGGCATTAGGAAGATTGAGAACCACTGTCCTAGTTCACCCTGCACACTTCTACAGTCAATATAAGATTCTAGGAATCTCTTAAATCCTCCAGTACAACTCTATGGTTAACCACCTGCAGAAGTTGACAACAGAGCCATGGGAGGACCTAGAAACCGACACAGGAATGCAGCAGTAAATCTCATGTATAATAGATACTCCACATAAATTTAAGAGGCACCTATCTGCAACCTAGCAGAACTCTGTCACACTGAAGCTTTTTTCCTTCCCTTGTTTGTAATGCCTTTCTTTCTCATGCTCTCGCTCTGATATAGATACGGAGAAATACATTTGTGTTTCATAAACTCAGAATAGCAAACAAGGGAACATTGTGTCTCTTTCCACATGCAAATTATGGGCCTAATTATAGCTTATGAGAGATGAGTCAGGCTTCACTGAAAATGGGCACAGATGGGACATCTGCTTTGAGAACGAAAACACACAGCGTCGTTAAATTGATCTGACAGTGCGTTACGTTTTAAACATCAACTACTAAGAACAAGACCTGGATTGCTCACCAAAATCAGCAAAAGCTGTCGATGCCAGATACAAAACGGAACTTTACACGCTCTGAATGTTTTGTACTGTGCATATGCATCCACTTGCCTAGGGATTCATGGAAACTTGATGAATTTTAGTTTTCTTTCCTTTTGTTTTTTTTATTCATGCTTCTATTAATTAAGGGAGAGGGCCTTCACGGTGGTGGCCCCTTGGCTATGGAACGCCCTCCCTAGGGATATCAGATCGGCTCCCTCCCTTTTAACATTTCAGAGGAAAGTTAAGGCATTTCCATCTACGAACCCGCACAATCTCTTCTCTTGCTCCCGCCCGCATCACAAGTGCGACTTGCGGGGACGAGAGAGAAGGCCTTTTCTGTGGTGGCCCCTCAGCTCTAGAACTCACTCCCCAGAGATATTAGGCAAGCCCCTATGCTGGCAATCTTCAGGAGGAATCTGAAAACCTGGTTATTCCAATGTGCCTTTAGTGATTGAACGTAAGATACTCCCTGACCAAAAATTGTTCACAAAATGACCTCAACAGCACTTTATTTTATGGCTCGTGCAATTAAATCCCTCCTCATCCCGGACCCTCCTCCCAATGATTGACATTGTCCTATCTCCCAGTGTTTTAAATTTTTATCCTGAATTTGGCCCTGCAAAACCTTTTTTGTTTTAATGTCTGATTTTATATTGTTGTGTTGCTTATTATATTGTTTTCTATTTCATGTATTTTATTTTTTGGTTTATTATCTGGAGAGGCCCTGCTCACGATCCCACCTGCATCGCAAGCGCGACTGGTGGGAACAAGGGACGGGCCTTCTCGGTGGTGGCCCCACGACTCTGGAACTCCCTCCCCAAATACATCAGGCATGCCCCAACATTGGCAGTCTTTAGAAGAAGCTTGAAAACATGGATGTTCCAGTGTGCCTTCCCTGATTAAGGAATCCCAAGCAATATGTCCCAAATGCACTTTAGGAGAGAGTCAGAATTTGTGTTATATTGTTGTGTATTGTACTGATGGGCATGGCCTCATGTAAGCCGCACCAAGTCCCTTCGGGGAGATGGAGAGGAGTATAAATAAAGTTTTATTATTATTATTATTATTGTTTGAGCAAGCATTTACAAATGCAGAGTAACTGACATAGAAAATGGAATGACTGGATGATGTAATTGGACAATGTTTTAACAAGGAGATGCTAATGATGTTGGGTTGTTGTAGGTTTTTTCGGGCTATATGGCCATGTTCTAGAGGCATTTTCTCCTGACGTTTCGCCTGCATCTATGGCAAGCATCCTCAGAGGTAGTGAGGTCTGTTGGAACTAGGAAAAAGGGTTTATATATCTGTGGAATGACCAGGGTGGGAGAAAGAACTCTTGTCTGTTGGAGATAATAGGGTTGTTGTAGGTTTTTTTCGGGCTATATGGCCATGTTCTAGAGGCATTTCTCCTGACGTTTCGCCTGCATCTATGGCAAGCATCCTCAGAGGTAGTGAGGTCTGTTGGAACTAGGAAAATGGGTTTATATATCTGTGGAATGACCAGGGTGGGACAAAGGACTCTTGTCTGCTGGAGCTAGGTGTGAATAGGTTGTTGTAGGTTTTTCCGGGCTATATGGCCATGTTCTGGAGGCAATTTTTCTCCTGACGTTTCGCCTGCATCTATGGCAAGCATCCTCAGAGGTAGTGAGGTCTGTTGGAAGTAGGAAAAATGGGTTTATATATCTGTGGAATGACCAGGGTGAGACAAAGGACTATTGTCTGCTGGGGCTAGGTGTGAATGTTTCAGCTGATCACCTTGATTAGCAGTCAATGGCTTGGAAGTGCCTGGGGGAATCTTTTGTTGACAGTTGAAACATTCACACCTAGCTCCAGCAGACAAAAGTCCTTTGTCTCACCCTGGTCATTCCACAGATATATAAACCTATTTTCCTACTTCCAACAGACCTCACTACCTCTGAGGATGCTTGCCATAGATGCAGGCGAAACATCAGGAGAAAAATGCCTCCAGAACATGGCCATATAGCCCGGAAAAACCTACAACAACCCATATTCATGCTGGAGATAGGTGTGAATGTTTCAACTGACCACCTTGATTAGCATTTAATGGCTTGGAAGTGCCTGGGGGAATCTTTTGTTGAGAGGTCATTTGATGTGTCTGATTGTTTCCTCTCTGTTGTTTTGCTGTTGTAATTTTAGAGTTTTTTAATACTGGTAGCCAGATTTTGTTCATTTTTTGGTTTCCTCCTTTCTGTTGAAATTGTCCACATGCTTGTGGATTTCAATGGCTTTTCTGTGTAGTCTGACATGGTGGTTGTGAGAGTGTTCCAGGATTTCTGTGTTCTCAAATAATATGCTGTGTCCAGGTTGGTTCTCAGGTGCTCTGCTATGGATGACTTCTCTGGTTGAAGTAGTCTGCAGTGCCTTTCATGTTCCTTGATTCGTGTCTGGGCAATGCTGCTGCGTTTGGTGGTCCCTATGGAGACTTGTCCACAGCTGCATGGTACACGGGAGACTCCTGCAGAAGTGAGAGGATCCCTCTTGTCCTTTGCTGAACGGAGCATTTGCTGGATTTTCTTGGTGGGTCTGTAAGTGGTTTGTATGTTGTGTTTCCTCATCAGCTTCACTATGCAGTCAGTGGTTCCCTTGATGTATGGCAAGAACACTTTTCTTTTGGGTGGATCTTCATCTTGACTCTTGTGGCTTGTTCTTGGTCTTGCAGCTCTTCTGATGTCTAATGATGTTGATTTTTATTGTTTCCGTTGTGGTTTTATATTGTATTTAATGTTTTTATTTGTATATTGATATTATGTGTATTGACTTGTGGCCTGTAAACCACCTTGAGTCGCCAAAAGGCTGAGAAAGGCGGTATGCAAATATTTATTTATTTATTTAGTACTTTTGTATACCGGTCTTCTCGCCTCCGTGGAGGGACTCAGGCCGGTTTCCAACAATAATATCACAAGCAATCGTTTAAAAACATCAGATTCCGTAATACACCAACACATTAAAATACCAAAAATACAATCATATAATTACAATGGCCAAGTCATCACAATAAAATCGTTGTTCATCACCATCCATCCATATAGCCACAAGTTATTGACTCACTCGTCAAATGCCAGTTTCCAGAGCCAGATTTTCACCTGTTTTCTAAAAGTCAGGAGAGAAGGGGCAGTTCTAATCTCCAGTGGGAGTTCTAGAGCCGAGGGGCCACCACCGAGAAGGCCCTGTCCCTCGTCCCCACCACGCACGCTTGCGAGGCTGGTGGGACCGAGAGCAGGGCCCTTCCAGACGATCTTAACAATCTTGATGGTTCATAAGGTAAAGGTAGTCCCCTGACATTAAGTCCAGTCATGTCTGACTCTGGGGTGTGGTGCTCATCTCCATTTCTAAGCCGAAGAGCGAGTGTCCGTAGACACCTCCAAGGTCATGTGGCCGGCATGACTGCATGGAGCGCCGTTACCTTCCCCGGAGCGGTACCTATTGATCTACTCACATTTGCATGTTTTCGAACTGCTAGGTTGGCAGAAGCTAGGGCTAACAGCGGAAGCTCACGCCGCTCCCCGGAATCGAACCTGCGACCTTTTGATCAACAAGCTCAGCAGCTCAGTGCTTTAACCCACTGCACCACCGGGGGCTCATAGGGTACAGTAAATAAATAAAATTACAAAATGCATAAGGATGTGGGTGAACTACAACTCTC